ATCCATGTGATTGAGCTTCTGTAGATTTGTCTGAGTTTTAGATTCCGGTTCTTTTTTGTGGTTGAGGTAGGAAAGTGTATATAATAATATAAGTTTTTGTTATGGTCATTATTATGATTACTGGTCAACCAAGCAATTCTACCAATCATTGTTTACAGAGAGAAAAATCTTATAAATGCTTAAAATATTTATACATTATAATGTTTAAAGTATTACTTAAAATTATGTTATTTTCATAGAACATCAATTAATATAAGATATATATTTTGTGATATCAATATAATTGATATTTAACATATTTTTACAAAATGTGGTCATAATATTACCAATTTTTTTATTTTTTTATATAATACAATTAAAAGTACTATTATGATTGCTATGATGCTAATTAGTACAATTATGATATAATCATTATATGACATTATGTTTTTTTTTTGATTATAGTTTTTACTCATTGTTGTTAGCATATTGTCAACGTCTATGAAGTCTGATCCTTTTATGTTTATGTTTTCAATGGGTTTGTATATTGAGCTTCTTAGTTCTTGTTTGTAATTTTTTATTTTTAGTAGTTCTGTGTCGCTGAAAATGGTGCTAATATTTATTAAACTTATGCTCATGTTAATATTTACCTGGGTTGATTTCTGTACTCTTGGCAGTATTTTTATTGTCTCTAGTGACGTAGAGATTTCGCAATTTTCTGTGTCAAGTAATATCCCTGCTTCTTTTATTTTATAATTGTAAATATTTAGCCCAGTTTTTACCCAACATTTTTTTATTTTATCTATCTCTCTTTTTACACTAAAGTGTACTCCATTATCCGAGGGAATAAATATTTCGGATTCTAATAATTCATTGATCGATTTATTGCAAAAACCTGAAGTATTTCGACCTAAAAATGCATTGTATTCACAAGATTCCCCTCGTTTTATTATGGCCCTATGATTACAAATTGTGACTATTTGTTTGTTGCAATTTTCGAGTTGATTTTGAGAGATTATTGAGTAACTTTTTCTATCGTCCGATATAGCTAAATAATCCTGTATTGTGTCTAATTTGGCCCATTTATTTAAGTCCCCCATAAATATAGGTAATGCTTGTACTGAATATAGTTCAAAGTTTCCCTCATTAGATGTAATCGGGATTTGTATAACCAATTTTAGACTTTTGTCATCTGCGAAACTGTTAAGGATTGCTATTTGATAGTAAACGTGAATATTGTTTGATGTCACGGGAATGATCATATCTAATTTTTGAGGCATTTTATTTTTTATGTCTGTGAGAATATCTACGAATTTATTGGTAGATATTAAATTTGGGCTTAGTTTACCATAGAGTGAAGTTATTAAACCTTGTTTTATTTTGTCTAATTCTAATTTTGCATCCTGTAAAAAATTTTCTATTAGCCTCACAACTTTTTCAGTTCTAATCATGAATGAAATTATTTTGATATCTTGATTAAGGCTTATTATCATTGTTTTCATTGTTTCAATACTCAGTGCCCCGTCGTTTAGGTGTTTTATAATTTCGTTCATTTTTATTGTATTGATGTACTCATTTTTGTTTATATTTTGTATTATTGTTATTTGGGACTGTTGTAAGTGTTGAATTTCGTTCGTTGTTTCATTTATGTTGCTAAGAGTCAAATTTATTTCGTCAATGTCATAATTGGTTGCTGTTCCAAATAAGAATTTAAAGGTGGATCCAACGGCATTAATTAATCCTCTTTTATTTCGAATTTTCGGTAATAAATTAAAAATTTGATTTACATCATCAATATAATTGTGTATCCCTTCGTTTATAAATTGTATATCTACTGAAAATTTCTCAATTACAAAACCATATTGTTCCTTATCTTCGGTTTTGTATTGTGGTAACATAATTAATAATTGTTTCATGTATTCTAGTTTTTTATATAATGGTTTCACATCATTGTTAATGACAATTGTCCAATGACCTGAACCAAACATGATATTTCTTTGTTTTGTAAATATAATACCTGGCGTTTGTTGAGTATATATTTGTGGTATGTGGAATATGCTGATTATCATGAAATATGCTAGAGACTTCATTTTATATAAATGTTGTTATATTACCGTGTGGCCTTGACTTAGTTTTATTTGGTTAATAGGTTATGTTTTTTTTTTTTTGCTGTATTGACAAATCTGTTTCCAGTGGGTTGTGATATTCTTTTATTCTGCGAACATGTATGACATCTTCAGTTAATATATTGTTAAGTTTTATTTTTACCATATAATTTACGTCATTTATTTTTGACATAATTTCATATGGTCCCCTATATATTGGTGCTAATTTATGTGTTTTTCCTGATTCTTGAAAAGGAAATTTAATAAGAACAAGTTGTCCAGGTGCGTATTCTACGTGTTTATGAGTTTTGTCAAAGTATTTTTTTTGTGTTGTTTGTACCGATGATATTATTTCTGGTAGTTTTAGTCTGATATTTTTAAGATCCATAAGTGATGCCTTTACATTATACGTTAAATTTTCAGGTATTATTTTGTTGTCAATTGGTAATTGTGGTTCAAATCCATGCATTAGATAAAATGGACTGAAATGCGTAGTTGTTTGTACCGAGGAGTTGTAACTGAATATGATAAATGGTAGGTAGAAGTACCATCTAGATTGTTTATTTTCGGTCATGTAATGTTTTAGTGCTTGACATATCGTACCATTCGTTTTTTCAACAAAGCCTTGAGTTTGAGGAGAGTAGCTAGAAGAAAACACTTGTTCAATACCTAAGTTTTTACATACGTTGTTAACAGTTTCATTTTTAAAATGTGAACCTCTATCTGAACACAATTTTCTTGGTACGCCCCATATTGCTACGAAATCAAATAAGAACTGTACAACAGAATCGGCATTTGCATATTTCATTGCTTTGGCTATGACGTATTTGGTAGTATTACAGGCTGCTACTAGGATATATTTTTTTCCATTACTCTGGGGAAGAGGTCCTAAGAAATCTATTGTTATTCTTTGTAATGGTTGTCCAGTAATTTCTTTTATTGGGTTTAGTAAGCCTGCTTGTTTTCCAGTAGTTTTTTTGTTTATTTGACATGAATGACAAGATTTAACAAATTGTATAGCGTCTTTTGTTAATGTTTTCCAAAAATATTTTTCCTGTATTTTATGAATTAATCGTGAAATGCCTATG